ATTTAATAGTTAAACATGTATTTAACACAAAAAGAACTTAAAAAAATATCAAAAACACCTACAAAACAAGAAATATTAGAAAAACAAAATCAAAATACTATTGAATCTAAATTAAAAAAGTTAAAAGATAAAAGAGACAAAATTAAAGAAAAAATAAAACAACAAATGGAAAATGAATTTAAAATAATTCACAAAGATTTAATAGAAGAAATAGTACAAAAAAGAAAAAAATTTCTTGAACAAAGAAAACAGGAATTTTTAATAGAAATACAAAAACTAGATGATTTATATGAAGAAACAGATTTACAATATCAATTTCAAAAACCAACTGAAGAACTTAAAGAAAATTATGAATTGGAAAATAAAAAGAAAGAGGAAAGTAGAAAATTAAAAAATATAATAGTAAATTTTCAAAGTCAAATAAATAATAAAGTTTTGAATTTAGAAAAATATTCAGAAAATTATATAAATGAAGAATTACAAGAAATGAAATTAAATTATTTAATAGCAATACATAATCTTAAAAAATTAAAAGAAAATAAATCATATAATTTAAATTATTCTGAATATTAATTTATAAATGGAGAATATAATTTAGATGAATTTGATTTAGTAATTAAAAAGAATAATTATAAGTAATTTATATAAAAAATTTTTTTAATTTAATATTATTATTTTTAGTTTTAATTAATATTATTTGTTAGAATCAATTATTAAATAATAATAAAAAGCTTAATTTAATTTTTAATATATCTTATATCAACATATTCTGTATCATCATATTCATATACTTCAAAATTATTATTTAATTTTTCCAAGTTTTCTAATTCTGATTTTTTGATTGGTATAATAAATTCTCTTATTTTATCAATCTTATTTAATATGATATTATAATCAATAATCCAAGATGAATTATAACCATTATATATTTTTTTAATCACTTTACTATTTTTCAATATCAAATTTAAAAAATAATAAGAAGATTTTTCATTATTCAAATAATTAAATATTTTTTGAGTTGAAAATTCAGT